GTTGCCAGATAAAATATGGGATAGCTAGTTAAATTTGAATTTCAGATAAACAATGAATAATTTTTTAATACAAGTATGTCCCATGCAATTGTCACTAATACCAGGGACGATTGTGGCCCTGGGACTCCTTCTGGAGAATGAAGAGCAGGGCTCAGTTGATCCTGTGATCAGAGGGGAGCACTCATATTCCAAGGGATCAGAGGAAGGGACCTTGTGACTGGGCTTTCCCATCTCACTGAGATTGGTCACCTCTTCCACGGGAGGACTTGAGCCTTTCAGGTCAGGGGGAATCTAGCTGATGCAGGGGCTCAGATAGTCCCTGGGACATGCAGAAACAGACATGGATGATGACAGTGAAGTCAGTCAGTCAACAAATGTGTTTTGAACACCTAGTATGGGCCAGGCATTTGTTATGCTCAATGACTACAGTGGAGATAGGGTATACAGCAATATCAAGGAAAGGAAGAGAATTTCCACCTGTGCAATGGGAGGGCGGAGTGAAAGAGACAATGGCAAGCAGTTTGGTTTGTTCTCACCAAAGGTAAGAAATGGAGGAGGATGAGGCACAAGTGCTTTGAATGATAAAGGAACCAAGCCTTTATTTCAAGGATAAGGGCTGGGGGCACACTGAAGTAGAGAGGTTATATGCTTAGATTTGCTTTTTTGAACATCATTCAGCTTGCAACGTGAAGGATGGATTGGAGGAGGGAGTTGGGGCCAAGGAGATGAGCTAGAAGGATGATAGATCCTGAGTTAGGATAACAGTAGCAGGAAGAAGGAGAGGAGAGAGATTTGAAAGATGTTGAGATGTGGGGCAGAGATGGCTATTTGTCCCTGCCCCTGTCCCCCCAACATCTGTTCTCCCTTTCTTCTATGTTAATGGAGCCCCCAGTTTTCATCCGGGCATATGGCCATAAGGAATAAAAACTTTATTTCCCAGTGATCCTTTTGTCTGTGTGTGCCTATGTGACTAAGTTCTTTCAACCTGTAGGATGTGATGTAATACCCTTAAAGGAATAAGGTTGAGGTGGTCGGCTATCTTGGATCATATAGTATGGCAACATCCTAGGGATGGTGGAGACAGAAGCCTGGGCCGCTGACTAATTCGTGAAGCAGAGTAAAGGTCCAGTTTTTACACAGGATGGAAATAAACTTCTACTTTATTTGAGACTGTGTTTACTTTGGGTTCCTGTTACAGCTGCCAAATCTCTATCCCAACACAAAGTGGTAAAAGTCACAGGTGAGGGCTAAGATGTAGGGACTGCACGAGATGTGGAGAGGAGAGGAAGCTGCAATTTTTTTGTTATACCCAAGGCGGTGTTTCTTTCTTGAAAATGGCCTTTTGACCATCTGCAATGTGATCACTCTGGATGGGGCCCAGTTATCTGTGCAAGCAGCTTGGTGAATTGCAGGACCCAGGCTTAGGCAATCCCCTCCAGCATCCCGCAGGCTGGCCCTGCTGGAGCTGGGAGGTTTCAGGGCTGCCTGCCTTCCACGGGTGTCTCCATGGTGACCTGTCCTCCGGGCAGCCCCCAGAGCAGGCTACTTCTCCTATCAGTAGTTCAGTGTCTGCCTCTGCCCCAGGGTTTATTTCTTCAGACTTGGGACTAAAGACAGGCTCTGTCATGCTAAGTCAGATCACTATCATTCTTACCTGGATCCCACAAAGCCCTGAATGATCTTGGCTCCAGGCAGCACTGGCTCCATTGTATCACGCATCTTCCTTCTTTGGGGCCTTTGCCTGAGCCACTCCATGCTTAGGACCTTCCAACCTCTTGCCCCCAACTAATTCTTATTAAAATTTTAGCTCTCAGCTTAAATGTTATGCCTTAGGGAAGTGTTCTCTAAACTCCAGTATAGATCCAGTGCCACTTTTATATACACTGTGGCTCCTTGTACTTCTTCCTGGGGCTTATCATAATTCTAATTACATAATAATTGGTGTAATTATTTGTTTAATGTTGTCTTTCCCATTATTCTCTGAGCATCGTGACAGTTGGGAACATGCATGTTCTGTTCACTGATGTGTCCCTAGAACCTAGTGCAGAACTTGACAAATAAGCAGTGCTCAAGAAATATTTGTTGATGAATGAATGTCCCTTCCAACCATAATTTTCCAGGAAGTCCTCTCATAGTCACACTCTCCTCCCTCCACGTGCCAGCCCAGCTAAGAGAAGTAAATAAGCAATTAGGATGGGACCTCCTTTTCTCTGAGGACCTGGGACCAGTTGACGTTGAATGAGAACCACGTGAGTGAAAAGAGAGCCCAGCAAAAGACAAAGACCTCTCATATCCACAGCCAGAAATGACCCCCTCCCCAAACACCTAACTAGGGGTCTCTGGCTTGTTAATATACTCCAAACTAATAGCAGATAGCTAAGGGATCAGAAATAAGATTTAAGCAGACAGCTAAAATATTGATTAATAATTAAGGCTTGGCAAATAACTAAACTACTAAGTACTAGGATATAACCTAATAAAGTATTTGGCTTATAAGTAAAGTGTTAGAAGATAATTAAGGTGTCAGTAGAAAATCAAATATTAACTACTCAAGTGTTAGCTGATAACCAAGAGATTAATTTAAAACTAAGTCGTTAGCAGATACTAGTTAAACAATGACTAAGGTAACTGCTTATAAGGATTTAAAGTGAGATTTTCCCTAGGGGACCCTTGCACGTGAGAGGGGACTTGGGAACAGCACAAAGCTGATAGAGCCTATAGGAATGAAGGTCTAGTTGGGAGTGCAAAGTCCTCAGCTGGACTCTAAACTTCTGGGGGAAACTGCTCGTCTTTGGTTTCTGGATAGGGTCTAGTCAGGGACAGCATGGAGCTGGTGCTCAAAATGCTTACCACATAATTAAATTTAATCTGCTAAGGGCTACGCACTGTGCTGAGGAGAGAAGGGAGGGCAGTTGCTTAAACAATGAGAATAATGTGGTGAGTGAGTGAGTGGTGTGTGGAAGGTAAGGCTTAGGGGTTTTGCAAAGGCTGGGTGGAAGGGAAAGCAGGTGTGTCAGCGAGAGATGATGAGTTTAGTTCTGGATGCATTGAATTGAGGTGTCTGTAGACATGCCCAGGTGGATATGAGTCCAACGTGGATTTGGGTGTCATCAGGGTGTAGACAGTGCTCAAAATGATGAGAAAAAATGAGATGGCTGCAGAAGAGGATATGGAGTGAGAAAAGGGACCAGCCTAGAACCCTAAGGAAGACCAACAGGGAAGGAGTGAGAAGAGGAGGAAGAAACATCAACAGACACTGAGAAGGAAGGAGCACTCAGAGAGATGGGGGCAAACCAAGAGAAAATGCGAGCGTGAAAGCTAAGGGAAGAGAGAGTGTTAGGGAGAAGAGTGCAGTCAGCAATGTCAGATGTGGCTGACAGGTCAAGCACGATAAGGTCAGAGAGATGTCCATTGAGAGCGTGGTTCCGAGATGTCCACCACAAAAATTTCTGTGATAGCTGGGTTTTGGGGGGTATGCGTGTGCACACGCATGCACACATGAGCATGTGGCAGAGCTGGAGCTTGGAGAAGGGTGTGTAAGAGCAGGCTGGAGCCCACTGCAGGGGAGCTTGTGGTGAGCCCACAGGGAGCCTTTATTTACTTTTGGCAGCTTTTGAGAAGGACAATTAAGGGAGACTTAAGCACAGTAAGCACAGTTCAACCCTTTCGTTGTCCAGTGGGAAAATGGAGGACAGCAGAGAGGGACAATTTGCTTAGTCTGTGAGTCAAGGGCACAGCCAGGACTTGAATCTGAGCCTCCTTCTTCTAGCAGAGTGACCTTGAGAGAAGTAGACATGAAATTCTTACTGGCCAGTGAATTATCGACCAGTGACTTTGCCCATCACCTCAGTTTTTAGCTGCCTCTTTTTATATGTTATATAAAAGTGAAATAGTATTTTATATACAAAATTCAAACATTTCAGAAATACTTAACAAAGAAAGTGAATGACTCCTGTTATCCTACCCCACCCCCATGGACAACAACCATTAACAGTTTGGTCTATATTCCTCCCTCCTCTCTCCCTCTCACTTAACATTGTAAATTTTTAGTAAAAATATTATACTTGGTTATACTGGATTTTTTGTGTGTGTACCTGTGTTCATTCTGTTTTACAACTTGCCCTTTTTCACTTTTGGACAACTTTCTATGGTAGTATATAGAAATCTTATTCATTCTTTTTTTTTTTTTATGTGAGGAAGATCAGCCCTGAGCTAACATCCTATGCCAATCCTCCTTTTTTTTTTTGCTGAGGAAGATTGGCCCTGGGCTAACGTCCATGCCCATCTTCTTCTACTTTATATGGGCCGCCGCCACAGCATGGCTTGACAGTGGCGCATCAGTGTGCGCCTAGGATCTGAACCTGCGAACCCCAGGCCTCCAAAGCAGAGCGCGCGCACTTAACCGCTGCTCCACCAGGCCGGCCCCTTATTCATTCATTTTAATAACTGTATTAGCATATCATTTGGATTTGTACCATAATTTATTACCAGGCCATATTGATGGACACAAGACTTGAATCCAATTTTCGCTATTATGAACAGTATACATACATATTATCGTACACATTATTTGCACAGTTTGGGAGTCTTCTAGAAGGAGAAATGATGGATCAAAGGGTATGAACATTTGTTTTAAAAGATATTACCAAATCACCCTCCAAAAACTTGTGCCAGTTTGTTGTCCCATCAACAGTTTATGCAAAAGCCCATTTCCCCACATCCTTACCAACAATGGGTATTATCATTTAAAAAATCTTTCCAACTTGAATGAGGCTGAACATCTTTTCATATTCTTATTACCTGTCTGTATTCTTCTGTGAATTATCTATTCATATCCTTTGCCTATTTGCTATTGTAGTTTACTTTTGGTCAGTGAATTCTTTTTGGGAAATAATGATTAGCTTGATTAAAAAAGGCTTGGAAGGCTTTGTACCAAATTGCAAATAGTTTTACCTCCAGGGAGCGAGAGTATAGAAAATGAGCGGGATACTTTCATTTTCATTTTACATCACCCTGTATTATCTTATAATGAATTTGAATTACTTTTGTAATTAAAAAAAGAATACACAGGAAAACAACAACAACAACATATAAATGTCTAGCCTGGATTGTCAATGGCTGGAAGTTCATGTGGGTGCAAGTTTTTATTGATCACAAGTTATTTTTTGGTTTATATGCAAAAAATATTTATTGAATGCCTCCTATTGAGCTGGCACTGCCCCGGGCACATTCATAGGTCTTTCATCCTAATCCTCACAACAGCCCTGTGAGGTAGGAATTGGCCCCATTTTACAGAGTTCTTAATAGGTAGGAGATTATTGCTTGATATACTTCTATTTGCCACATGTTTTCATGGGCTAGAGGTTCTTAATGGCTGGTGATTCACTGGTCAAGAGCTCTCATTGGCCAGGAGTTCCTAGTGGTTGCTCTAAGATTCAAATCATCAAAATACTAGAATTATTCCCCTGCAGGAGTGATGGACTAGGAGGAATAAGAATGGAGGGAGGAGTCAATGGGCTCTCCCTCTGAAGCACCATTTGAGTTTGCTTTGGTCACCCATGCAAGATGGGGGGGCGAAGGCGACAGTGGGAGAGGAGGGAAAGTGGTTACAGGTCTTCTCGCTTCTTCAGGATGAGCTTCCTCACGAGTTCTGTGATGTGAGGCCTGATCTCCTCCACCGACACGGTTGGGTCCCAAGCCCCTACCACTTTCCCGTCTGGGGCCACTAAGTACTTCCAGAAGTTCCAGGTGGGCTCCTTCCCAGAAGTCTCTAGAGAAAAAGGAAGAAGGAGAGCAACTACTTTTTTTTTTTTAATTTTATTTATTTATTTTTCCCCCAAAGCCCCAGTAGATAGTTGTATGTCACAGCTGCACATCCTTCCAGTTGCTGTATGTGGGACGCGGCCCCAGCAAGGCCGGAGAAGCGGTGCATTGGCGCGCGCCTGGGGTTCTGAACCCGGGCCGCCAGCAGCGGAGCGCGCACACCCAACCGCTAAGCCACGGGGCCGGCCCTGCAACTACTTTCTTACACTGCTTCCCTGCATACCCTCTCGTGGAATTCCACTATCGGTGTCCATCCTTCCCTTGAAGCAGTGGTTCTATTAGAATTAACTGGAGAGCTTTTCAAAATCCTGATGCCCAGTCCATACCCCAGACCACTTAAATCAGAATCTCTGGGAGTAAGACTCAGGCCTCAGTATTTTTGAAAAGCTCTCCAGGAGATTCCAATGTGGCGCCAAGGTTGAGAACTGCTGCATTAGGATTCTGTGAAGTGCTTGATAAAGCATATCAGATCTTCCTTTATTAATGACTTCAAACTACAGAATAGTCTACACCCTATTCTCTGATGAAATCTTAATGGTTTCCAAATGTTAGTCCATGGACTGGTTGCATCTGAATCATGATGGTGGTGGTGGTGGGGTGCTTAAAACAAACATATTTTTGGGCCCTGCTTCAGTAGGTCTCAGGCTAATGCATTTTTAAGAGCTCCCCAGGTGCTTCTAAAGCATGGCCAGGTTTGATCTATAACTATGGGAACTGGGAAGGAACTAATAAAAACACATAGGGAAAAGAAAGCAAACATTAGGATTGACCCCTAGAGCAAAATTCACATCTGCCTTAGTAAGGGACCTTGTGTTTGTTACACTGTTGTTTCTCATTTACTCCTCCAGGTGAATGGGTTGGGAGGGGGAGGTGAGGGATATGAAGGCAACCAGAAGCACGGAGTGGGAGAAAGCAAAAATGGAGCCCCCAAAGGAGGAGAAAGGCCTGAGGGAGGAAACAGGACCATGACAAGCTTGGCTCATGACCCCACTGTGTGGCTCTGAGGCTTCTTGGGCTGGAGAAGAGATCTATTTCTGAAATATTAAGATCTAGTATTTTAACTCACAAGGTTTCCCTCCTGTGGCCTATAGACTTTGCCTCTGACTCAGGACAGGAGATGCCTGTCAGCCTTCTCTAGGCATTTGGCATCTGCTCCTTGGTTTCTCCATCCTCCATAACTCAACTAATTCACGTTGACTAAAATCTGAGTCCGAGTCTCCCTCTAGGAGCCCCTATGTATGAAAACAGGATCTCAGAGAAGTCTGCAAGAATGACTCTGAGGGAGAACTGCAAGGCAGCAAGGGTGGAGATATTCTTAGGCAGGAATAACCCTCATCCTCAAAGATTAATGCTGGAACAGACCATCAATCCATGCGGGCATCTAGAAGGGGCCCCAGGTCAACTGGCCAGCCAGTGGGTTCTGCTGCCTAGGGAGCCAGCTGAGGGAGTGAGGGAAAGGATCAAGACTTACGGGTCAGGTACTTGAAGGCAGGGTGGGCACCAGTGCCGATGACTGCAATCTTGCTAAACATGGGGAAAGAGACACTGTAGGTGCGGCGGGCGAAGCTCTCGATCTCCTTGTTGCTGTCGGGCTCCTGCTGGCCAAACTGGTTGCAGGGGAAGGCAAGCACATTGAAGTGGTGGGGCCCCAGGTCCCGCTGCAGCTGCTGCAGGGCGCGGTAGTGCTGGTCTGTGAAGCCACACTCGCTAGCCACGTTCACCACCAGGGACACCTGGGTGGCAAAAACAAAACCCAGACACATACACAACCCAGTGAAGAGGCATGCACTTGCACATGCCGTGACATGCCCACATGTGCGACCCCCCCCAGCAGTTAATGCTCTCTCTCATACATACAAGAACACCGTGTACACGTATGTAAACGTGTGTGCAATGCTCTCACGTATACACCAACACATGCACACAGGCACAGATGGAATCAAACATGCAGGGGCTTACAGATATGTGTGCAAACACATACATGAACATTCATGAGAATAAGCACACAATAACCATAAATGGGTTTGCACACAGCCCATGACACAAAGATACCTTAGCACACAACACACGCACAAACACATACAACACATTCACAGAAAGAGGCACACGCACCAGTGGGCTCACATCAGGAGGTGCTGTGAGGGAGTGGAAAGGCAGACCTGGGTTCAGTTTCTGACTTGGTCAGCTAGCACTCATCACTTTACATGTAGTTGCCTGTATCCATGTGGGTCTCCCTTCTATAACGTGAACCCACTGAGGGCAGGAGCTATGTTCACTTCACTCCTGGGCCTAATGTACGGAAAAGTCTCAGAAAGCGTCTGCTGAATGAATAAGTGTGCACGCATACGCGATCACCTGCATGGGTACATAGACAGACATGGGTTTTCTTGATAAAAGGACCCCGAGGACCCCAGGGCAATCCCTTTTGCCCCTCTCTCTCCAGCAAACCAATACCACTTTCTTCTATCACTAGACTAACTTTTAAATTTATTATTGCCTTATAACACATTTATTTATTTATATGAATGTATTTATAAATTTATTTATTGCCTTTTGGTGATAAATATAAAGCTGGCTGATGGAACTTGATTATAGTACTGCAATTACAAATTTGGCACCAATGCTGTGTTTTTAGCTTCTAGTTACATATTATAAAAGGAGTTTTTTTTTTTTAGAAATTTAGAATTTTTTTTTTAATTTTATTTATTGATATTTATTTATTTATTTATTTTTTGTGAGGAAGATCAGCCCTGAGCTAACATCCATGCTAATCCTCCTCTTTTTGCTGAGGAAGACCGGCTCTGAGCTAACATCTATTGCCAATCCTCCTCCTTTTTTTCCCCCCAAAGCCCCAGTAGATAGTTGTACGTCATAGCTGCACATCCTTCTAGTTGCTGTATGTGGGAGGCGGCCTCAGCATGGCCAGACAAGCCATGCGTCGGTGCGCACCCAGGATCCGGGCCCAGGCCGCCAATAGTGGAGTGCGCGCACTTAACCGCGAAGCCACGGGGCCGGCCTATAAAAGGATTTTAAATCTTACCCTGTGTATGGGCAGCCCAGCTCTATCTCTCTGGCCACTTTTTTAGAAGAGCTGGGATCATACCAGCAGGCTCCACAAAGAGGGCCACCTCCCAGGAACAGCCTGGGACACGGGACATGGACAGGTGCAAACTGCTCAGGCTAGACAGGATTTCTCAACCTCAGCACTATTGACATTTTGGGCTGAATAATTCTTTGTCGTGAGGGGGCTGTCTTGTTCATTGTAGGATGTTTAGCAGCATCCCTGCCTCTACCCACTAGATGCCTAATCTTGACAATCAAAAATGTCTCCAGACATTGCTAAATGTCCCCTGGGGAGCAAAATCATCCCCAGTTGAGAACCACCGGGCTAGATGATACAAACCACTGAGCTGTAACTCCTTCAGCCTGCCTCCACTAGATGAGGAAGGACCAATTCCCTGGGGCCACAGGCTGTTAGAACAACCTCCCCCACTAGCATCAGCATAATCCATATTCTGCCTGTAGTGGTGAGAAACTGGGACCCTTACCTCCCTTCCCTGGTGAGGGGTCTTCCTCTTTCTTCTCTGCTGGATCCCTGGGCAATGAGAGTATTAAAGGTTTCCTATTGTTAACCTACATCTTGTGTGTCTGCCCACTCTTTTGGAAGGACGGAAATCCTGCTTCTAGGTCTATGCCTGGAACCAAAAAACTTATCCTTAAAGTGACAAAACACAGACACACCCAAATACACACAGTTAATTTCCATATGTACATATAGAAGCACAGATACAGACTCAGATGTGTACAGAGAAGCAAGCAAACAAATAAACCATACACACACACACTCAGGCTTACAGGTACCTAACCTCACACTGCAGGCAAGCACATTCCCAACTGGTCACCCATTCATCCCTCTTCATCATTGATCTAAATGATTGTTTTACCAGTTAGCCTGAGGGCACAAATCACACAGTCTTGCTCATGGCTATGTCTCCAGGGCTGGACCCAGTGCCAGGCATGTAGTGGGAGCCAGTAATTATTTTTTTCAATTTTTAAAAATATTGCAGTACAATACGCATAATGAGCCAGTAACTATTTGCAGGTGAATGAATGACCCAGTGGCAGACCTAGCTTGGGTTAACTCACAGCATCATTTACAGCTTCCCTGAACTGACTGTTCCTGATCTCCCTCTAAACCTGGCGATTAAGGGCATGGGCTCTGGAGCTGGACTGCCTGGATTCACATTCTAACTCTACCTCTTAGCAGCTGTGTGACTCTTTTTTTTTTTTCCAATTTCTTTCTGATTGATTTCTTGGCCTCTTGCTCCCATGCTTTTTAGGATTTACCAATGACCTAGAGTATTAAAACACTCCGAATTCTGGGATCACTTCTCTGGGTCATTTTTCTCCAGGATTTCTGTTCCTCACATTCTGGATGCCTTATTACTTCTGAAAACAAATAGACCTTGTTCTATTTTTGTCTTAGCACTTATTAATATAGGAATTACCTTGTTCATTTTTCTGTTCCTTGTTTATTGTCTCTCTCCTCTCCACCTCATATAAGCTCTATTAAAGTGGAAACTTGTCTGTTTTGCTCATTACTGTATCCCCAGGGTCGGCCTAGTACGTATTATACAGTAGGTGCTCAATAACAAATAATGAATTGACAAGTAGCAGGGCTGGTCAAGTGCTGAACCTGGGGCTCTCTGGCCAGCTGCACTAGAGAGAAGAAGAGGCCTGAATGGGAATAGGCCCTGATCTTATTGGCTCTTTGCCCTGAGTCCTGGATAAGGTTCCTGCTGGGCCCACCAAACACAGGGACAGAGCACTCTACCAAGTGCTTCCACACTGTTGTCTCATTTGAAACTCACAATACCTTGGGGGACAATCAGGACAAGGGTTACCACCCCCAGGGTTTCTGTGCCAGGCACTATGCTAAACACTTGACACACACTATCTCTTCCAATCCTCATAGCAACCCTATGAGGATAGGTCTTTTTTTTTTTTTGTATCTTCCATTTTATAGACGAGGAAGCTGAGGCATGAAGAAGTTAAGTACATTCCTCAGGAGGTAGGAGTGAGAAGAGGTGCCCCAGGCCTGGATATGGGCCCATTCCTCTCGGCATAATTGAGAATTTCAAGGCTTAGAGAGTACTTTCTTCACTAAAGACGGCCTTGCTCCAGGGAGAACGCTGACAGCCACTTTCCCGTGGTCCATCCGAATCTGGATGCTGGGCCCACCTGTGCATTAGAAACCAACTCCCCACCCTTCCCATATGGAGCCCCAGGTCCACCTTGAGAAGTAGACTTGGAGGGTTCTTCATTACACACAGTGCAACATCTAGGCCTCTGGATGTAGTGTTCAAGGCTCCTCTCGGTCTCTCCCTACCCTCTTCAGCCTCATCTTCCACCACTCAGCCTCACGCTTTATACTCCAGGCATAACTACTTGAAGTCCCCCCACCCCTCCAGCACCCTTCTTGCTGTTTGCTTCTGAGCCTTGGCATGGACAATTCTCTTTCCCTGGAATGCTCTTCTTGGCCTTGCTAAAAGTCACTCTTGTTTCAAAGACTCACCCAGGCACACTTCCTCTCTGAAGTCCTCTCTGAGCTGAGATTCCTTCTTGGTAAGGAGTTAGCAATTAGCCTGGATGACTCTTACATCTCGGCCTGAGCTGCCATCTTAGGAATTTGCCTGGAGCAGACCATGGATGGATGGTTGGTTCTGCCCCTGGTTCTGGGCTTTCTATGGCTGTGTGACCCTGTGCAAATACCTTCACTCTTTGGGCTTTAGTGTCGTCTCTAAAGGATGATCTGTGTAAGGTCCCCGTGGATCTAAAAGGATAACTCGCTCTGCACTGCACATTCATTTCCACAATGTCCTCACTGGACTCAGTATCAGCAAATCCCCCTGTTCCAGACGTGGAAACTGGGGATGGGAGAGACAAAGGCCGCAGGATGCAAGAGTTCCTTTTTCCACCCATGCATGACAAAGGCGGGGCCTGGGCATCCAGCCTCTGGGAGAGGCCCGACCCCGCTGCCCCAAGTCGCTGAGAGGGAAATCGGCGCCAGCTGCGAGAGTTTCGGGTTTCACTGTGCGCGGGGGCCGTGCCACGTAGCCGCGGGACGGACCGGGCGCAGGACCTGGGGGCGCCGCGCCCCGAGGGGATGCTGGGTGGGGGTGGGGAGCCAGGGCAGGGTGCCGAGCGGCCGGAGTCCCCTCGGAGCCACACCCGACGGGGTCCCCGGCCGCGGGGCGCCCCCATTAGGCCCGGCCAGGGCGGTGCCGAGGCCCCGTGGCCGGACACTCACCGACCCGCGGTACTTCTCCAGCGACACCAACTTGCCCCGGATGTTGACCACCTTGAAGTCGTAGAAGTCCTGCTCCCGCTGCGCGCAGGCCGCGGCCGCCAGGAGCAGCCACGCCGCCACCAGTGCAGCCACCATGACTCGCTCCCGGGGTGGCGGGGTTGCGAGGGCAAAGGCGGGGCGGGGGGACCCGGCGCGGGGGGCGGGAGGGGGCGGCCCGCGAGGCAGGACGCGCCCCCTTCCCCTTCTCCGCGGGCGGTGGAGCGCCAGGCTCTGGACCCCAGTTTCCCCATCTTGACTGCGGGAGCGTGGGACTCCGCGCCCCTTCCCGGAGCCTAGAGCCGTGGTTCCAGGATTCTGACCACTGAGACCAGAATTCGTGTCAGTGAGGCTCCCTCTTGTTCCAGGATGCAGCGACTTGGTAGGGAAAGGGAGCTGAAAATATGGATCTGAGAGTTCAGCTTCTAATTAGCACAGTGGCCTTAGGCTGGTCACTGCACCTCTCCGGACCTCAGTTTCTCCATCTGTTCAGTGCATCAGCCTCCCTTCCTGACGCACCCAGACAGTATAGAATGGGAGTAATTGAAAAATGCATGTGAAACTTTGTCAGCTGGATGGTGCCTGCAAACTTTAGATGAATGAATGAACGTTCCCTGACAGAGATGGCACTGAGATGGGGACGTGGGGACCGAGGGCGTGCTGCAGGCTGGGTTCCCGGGAAGCAGACTCCAAGATGGATGGAGACTGCAGTGCAGGATGGTTATGAGGGAGCACCCTTGGGATCAAGACCTGTGGAAGTGAGAAGAGGGAGCAGGAGTGGGCAGAAGTCCGGAGCTCCATGCAGGCGGAAGGAGTCTTGGCTGACCCCACAGGGACTCTGGAGCTAGGACGGCCCATCAGAGTTGTCCCCAGATGAGCTAAAATGGCCAGGGCAGGCCTTTATATCCCTGCCTTCATCAGTCATTGGACGTAGGGCCACGTGGGAAGAGGTATGACAGGAGCCAAGGTGGCCCTGTCCCTGGAGGGGCTGACAGTTAAAAGCTTTCCGCTGACAGCACGCCCAGCAGTAGTGTCCCAAGTCTTCACTGCTGGGGGATCTGGGCAGCACGTCACAGTGTCTCCCACACTCAGAAAACTCCTCCTGAGCCCCACCAAGTACAAGCATGGTGCTGGGTGCTGACGCTGTGCTGGTTGTCCAGGAGCTCACAGCTGGCGTGAGAGAAGCCAAGTAAACCGGAGAGATCATGTAATGTGGTAAGAGCTAAGCACTCCTACAGTCATTCAACAAACACTTGTTGAGCACCTGTTCTACGCTAGGTTCTGTTCTAGGTGCCTCTTATGCAGTGATGAACAAGACAGTGTGGTCCCTACCCAGGGGGAGACAGGTATTAAATAATTCATAAATAGCTCTAAAATTACTATTGTGGTGAGTACCACCTATACTACCCTTGGGGGTGGGGAGGGGTGCAGGAGAGCTTCCCAGAGAAAGGAAGGTTTGAGCTGAGCTCTGAAGAATGAGTAGAAATTAGCCAGGCTGAAACGAGGAAGCAAGTGCAAAGGACCTGAGGGAGACAGAAACATGGTGCATTGAGAAATGAAGAAGGCCAGTTTGGCTGGAGCAGAGAGAGCAGAGGGCAAGAGGAGAAGGTGGAGAGGCAGGCAGGGGTGAGGTCACACAGAACCTGATAGGCCACCGTAAAGATTATGGTCTATAAGCCAAGAAATGAAGGTTCTTTTTTTAAAGCAGAGAAGTGGCAGTGAGTGCTATGAAAGATCCCTGGCTGTTCTGTAAAGAGTAGATAGGAAGAGGCAAGAGCAGATGTGCTCCAGATGCGGGGGTAGAGGAAGCTCTACGGTTCTGAGGCCAAGAGGCAGTTGCTAACCTAGCAGTCAGGAAAAGCCTCCTGGAGGTGGTAATACCAGAATCATGTCTTCAAAGAGGAATGGGAATTCTGTAGTTTGGGAAGGAGGAGGGCAAAGATGTCAGACTGAGGGAGCAGTGTCTGTGAAGGCGCAGAGCTAGAGAGAAGAGCTTGGCTATTTGGGGAGAGAAGGGGTATGGGGTAGATGAGGTTGGAGGGGTCATCAGAGGCCAGATGGAGAAGGGTCTCGGGTGCCAAGGCAAGGAGCTCGGACTTCACTCTCTAGGCTGTGGTGAGCAAAGGTTTTGAAGCTGGGCACATCACAAGACTCGAACTCAGGCCTTCAGATTCAGAACATGGGATCTTTCTGCACTACCAAGCTGGCCTCTCTCTTTAGGAGCAGACAACATTAGTAGGAGAGATGGAAAACAGGAGAAAGGGTGCTCCAGGCAAGGGCCAAGGCAGAAATAAAGTGCTCCTGCACTTCCTACTCCTTCTCCCCCCTCTCTCATGGGAGCCTTGAGCCCGTGATGGGTCTTATGGTTACTAAATGGTCCCCTCTGCTCTGCCCCTGTGAAGCCATTGGTCTTCCTTCCTGCCATCTATCCCTTTCACTCAGACTTTCCTTGCATGTCCCAATAACCAGGAGTTCTCAAAATCTGCTCCACACAACTCTGACTCCTGCAAGCTTGGCTGAGCTATTTCCTGCTAAAATCCACATAGGTAGGCATTTCTACCAAGAAGGAAAAAAAAGTTAATGGTGAAATGTTTCTCATTTGTAAATTTTTTTCCTGAGTCCTTCCCTCCTCCCCTATTCATGTTTCAGAACCCAGCTCAGATGTCACTCCCCTCTGCTACTACACTTAATCCCTCCCTCCGCTCTGTTGCCTTTGTACTGAGTACATTTTCCCGCAGTGGGCTGATGATAACATCGTGCAGTTGTCTGTTTCCATGGCCATCTTTCCCCCCAGACTGGAGCTCCTTGAGGGCAGGCAGGCCTGTATCTGAATCATCTTTGTGTCCCCTGGCACACATTAGCTACTTAGTAAATAATCATTTTTCTTAAACCTCTGGTAACTTTTATTACTTGTCTGTGCTAGAGTCTGATATGAGATGCTGTTGGTTGTAACCAACACTGTATATTTTGTCATTTTATTTTCAGTCCACCATGAATTTTTGGTGTTTCTGAAAGAGCACAGCTATTTCCAAGTGGTCCATCTACACAAGTGGGAAACCCACAGGCACAGACAAATGCATACGCAGTTCTCAGCTGAGCACCTGGAAGGGTAGAAGACTCACTCCTGGATCCTTTGTACTCCACTTTCCCATAATAAGCTCAAAGAAGCTTTTTTATGGGTATTTAGAATACTCATTAATGTTTTCTTCATTCAACAAATTGTTGAGCACCTACTGTGTACAAGACACTATTTTAAGGGCTAGAAATATAGTAGTTAATAAGACAGACAAAAAATTCTTGAACTTACATTCTAGTGGGGGGAAAGGATAATAACTAAAATTTATAATATGAAACATATAGTACATTCGGTGGTGATAAGCAGGGGAGAGGGACAGAGAATGTGGTGGTGGGGTGGGGAGGGATTGCAACTTTAATTTGAATGATCAGGAACCCTCACTGAGAAAGTGGCATTTGAGCAAAGACCAGAAGAAAGAGTGCAAACAATGGGGAAAACCGGGAGAAGAGAAACATTCCAGGAAACAGCAAAGGCCCTGAGACAAGAGTGTGCATGATGTGTGTGGAGAACAGCAAAGAGGCCAGTGTAGATGGAGTGGAGTAGGGGAGGGGAAGAGGAGCAAGGGGTGACGTCGGAGAGGGAATGGGATGGGGAGGCAGATACTGTAGGGTCTTATAAGATGTTGTCAAGACATTTGCTCGCACTCTGAGCGAGATGGGAAGCCACTGAGGAGTTTTAAGCAGGGGAATGACATTTCTAATTTATATTTTAACATAATCACTCTGACTGCAGTGTTGAAATAAGGAGACCATTGAGGAGGCTATTGTAGTAATGCATGTGAGGGAACACGTAGGCTTAGACCAAAGTGGTGGCAGTGGAGGTAGTGGGAAGTAGCCAGATTCTGAATATATTTTGAAAGTAGAGGCATAAGGATTTCCTGATAGGTTAGATGTAGGGTATAAGAGAAAGAGAAGAGTCACAGATGACTTTAAGGTCTTTGGCCAGAGCAGCTGGAAGAATAAAGTTGCCATTACAGTCATGCATTGCTTAACGACAGGGATATGTTCTGAGAAATGTGTCATTAAGTGATTTCGTCATTGTGCGAACATCATAGAGCGTACTTACTCACAGAAGCCTAGATGGTATAGCCTACTACACACCTAGGCTATATGGTACTAATATTATGGGACCACTACTGCACATGTGGTCCATCGTTGACTGCACCATCATTACATGGCACGTGACTGTAATTGAGATGAAGATGCCTGCAGGGGCAACTGGTTTGGGATGGGAAATCAAGAGTTCAAGTTTTGGACATATTAAGTTTGAGTTGCCTATTAGCAGTGGTATGCTGGTAAATGTTTAACAACCAGTTCTCCAGGGAAAAAAGGTGTGTGTGTGTGTATACCCATACATAAAAGTTCATTATAAAGCTTACCGACATAAATGATGCATAGCACACAATTCACAAATAATAAACTATACAATACTTTTTATCGTGAATTCCACATGGCCAATTTATTCTCACAGAATGCTTTCATTGATTTTTGCCAAACTTGTATCTGTAGCCAACTAATGGTTGCAATTGCTGAACAAGTAGAGTTCCAAGATGAATGTTGGTTGATATTTTCATTTACATCAATAGTAAGATGAAACAATAAAGACATATTTTGGAACTTCACTAGTCAGTAACACAAAGTGACTTCTTTGCTGAATTGAACAATAGTTTTCCAATACTGGAAGAATATTTCCTCAAGTTATTTATGTTATTCACAATGTAATGGCTACAGACATGACACACTCTAAATTCACTCTGTATTATTAATATTATTTCCATCATTTTCTTAATCTAGACAATCAACAAAACAATAAATCAAACTGTGATTGGTAGCATTTGCCAATTTCTGTGATATAATACTCTTAACCATGGTTGATTTCAAGCTACCTATGTAATGTCACTGAACACAGAGTTAGGAAGAGATGCAAGAGTAGCACACCATTATATCATATTTCCACAATACAGATAGAGTAGTGTAAATAACCCAAAGAGCATAGAAAATAATAAAATATAGTAAAAATTGGCCGGCCCCGTGGCTTAGTGGTTAAGTGCTCGCACTCCGACGCTGGCGGCCCGAGT